TTGGAAGCTGTGATGCCTCACTTGGATCAGGCTCAGAGCCCACTCGTCTCGAGCGTATTTCATCGCAAGCGAGTGTTCTGCTCTTACCAACACGCTGCCCACCTGGCCGAGGCACTCATCAAAGTCTTTGTGGATATTGAGTTTACAGGTAAGCGCAGCCAGGGAGGAGTTGTGTTCCTGTGTAGCATCTGTGTGGGACTGTCCACTTGAAAGGTTCTTTGGCTTGTGCCCAGGTGACCCACACCAGTTTGAACAGAAGTTCAACTACCGCCGTCCCATGTATCCCATCCTGAGGTACATGTGGGACACTGATTCCTACCGGGACAGCATAAAGGTGAGGCCAGAGGTGCATGTCCGAGTGTGCAACTCATATGAGTGGGCACGTGGCTCCACGTCCTGCTTTGGGGCTGTGCTGCAGAATTCCCTGTACTCCCTTTTTTCACAGGCCCTGGCTGATTATGCCTCAGAGAACCTGGAGGCAATGAATCCCCCTCTCTTCTTGCGCTTCCTTAACCTGCTCATGAACGATGCCATTTTCCTGTTGGATGAAGCCATACAGGTAGGGCTGAGCTCACGTTCCATCATCATCCGGTAAACAAGTTCTCACTTCCTTGGTGCAGTACTGACCTCCAGAACAGGGGCAGCTTGCCTAGCCCTGCCTGGCAAGTCTCTGCAGTAAGTAGTATGCAGGAAACAGTCCCATGATGGTGTGGCCAATGCCCTGGGAGAAGGGGTGAAGGCAGGAGGAAGGGTCTGGGGCCCTGTCTGTGGGTTACCCTTCCTTCTGTTGGGATCAGGAAGCAGCTCAGAACTAAGAGGAGCAAAAGGGCTTTTTCACATCCAACAGAAACCACGCTGGAAAATCTGCCTGTTCCCAATCTGGATACACTCAGGTTTTAAACAGTCACTGTGGGTTTTTATTCTCAAATCGCCATGGTCTTTCTGCAAGACCATGTCCTGTTTCTGTTTTGTCCTAATAAAGGCCTTTTGTCTCCAGGCAGTTCTCCTTTGGGATTGCAAGGGAATTTCAGGTGCTCTCGTGTCCCTGGTGTGTGTTTAATGTTTCTCCACTCCTTTCAGAGCTGCTGTTGCTTCTAGAAAGGGCTATTTTGGGGAGCTATTACCTGCCAGAAAGCTGATTGCTGGAAGGCCGGCAGATAAGATGGGAGATAGGGATGTTGCCTGACTGGTTTTGAGCATTTCTGGACCTCCTTGGCATCACCACCCAGCCAATCACTCCATGTGTTGTGTCCTGCAGTACCTCAGCAAGATCAAGGTTCAGCAGATTGAGAAGGACCGCGGCGAGTGGGACAGCCTGTCCCCGGAGGCTCGCCGCGAGAAGGAATCCAGCCTGCAGATGTTTGGTCAGCTGGCGCGTTTCCACAACATCATGTCCAATGAAACCATTGGCACTCTGGCTTTCCTGACTTCAGGTAGGGAAAATGGCCCCTCTTGCCTGCCAGCACCTAGAGAAGAGCCCTGCCAGGGAGGGAGCAGGCAGGAGCTTCGTTTCAGTGTGCTCAGATGAGGATGGAATTGCTGTGAATCTGCAAACTCTTCTTTTGCTTTCCAGAAATCAAGTCCCTGTTTGTGCATCCTTTCCTTGCCGAGCGCATCATCTCCATGCTCAACTACTTCCTGCAGCATCTGGTTGGGCCTAAAATGGGAGCTTTGAAGGTGAAGGATTTCAGTGAGTTTGACTTCAAGCCACAGCAGCTCGTGTCTGACATCTGCACTATCTACCTAAACCTTGGGTAGGTGACAAGGGGAGTGAGCTTGTCGGTGGCAGGAGCCACCTTGGTGTTACTGGGGCAGAAATGCTTAGTTGCACTTAAGCTTTTCTTTAGCTTTGAGTTCTTTGCTATGGGAATGTGGCTGCTGTGGGGACTGTTTTGCAGCCCTGAAAAATGGGGATTCTTAAACCTTTCTCTCATGTAACCTGTGGCGCAGGGATGAAGAAAACTTCTGTGCCACAGTCCCCAAGGACGGCCGCTCCTACTCACCAACGCTCTTTGCCCAGACTGTGCGGGTTCTGAAGAAGATTAACAAGCCTGGCAACATGATAGTGTCTTTTAGTAACCTGGCTGAGAGGATCAAGGTGAGCACCAGAGGGAACTCAACACAGGCAAAAAGATAGAGGTGGTTCCCTGTGTCCTTTTCACTCTGTGTGTTACTGCACCTTTGCTGTGGAGCTGGATTTCTGGGAATGGAGCTTTGTCCAAGGTCCACGTGGGGCAGTGGGAGGGTTCCCTGCCTGCACAGACCTGTGAATGCTCCCTGGTTTTTAAGGAACAGGGGAGCCGAATCCCTCAAAGCCACCTGTGCTCCCTAGTCTCTTGCAGACCGGCAGCAGCAGGAAGAGGAGACATACGCAGATGCCTGTGATGAGTTCCTGGATCCAATCATGAGCACTCTGATGTCAGACCCCGTGATCCTGCCCTCCTCCCGTGTCACTGTGGACCGATCGACTATAGCCCGACACCTCCTCAGGTGTGCACAGCCCTCATACCTTGATACTTTGGGGAATCTGTTTGACATATCCAACGACTCCTCCTGGTCTCTATTTTTTTTTTTTTTTTTTTTAATCTCTAGCACTGGGAGTGTCCAAGTAATATCCTTGATATTTTATATTTCAGCGATCAGACAGATCCTTTCAATCGGAGTCCCCTCACTATGGACCAGATCAGACCAAACACAGAGCTAAAAGAGAAGATCCAGAGATGGCTTGCAGAGAGGAAAAAACAGAAGGAGGAGGGGCTGGAGGACACACTGAACTAAAAGACAGGATCTCATCATTAAACCTCCTGTCATGGGCGAGATCACAGCCATGTAGGGGTAATGGCTGGAGCTGCCACCCTAACGACGACCACATTTAGTGCATTGCCACCACCTTTGGAGTCTCTCCTCCGACCTTCCCTGCCAGCTCTTGTTCTCTCTTTTCCTTTCAAGACTCTGTCTTTAATACTGTGACTTCCCAGTGCACTACAGCTTCGGCCTCGGGAGAAGAACACAGCCTCCTCATGACGTGGTGCCCTGGCTCTGTATTACCTGCTCTTTGTGTTGGCCGCCTTCTTTTCCAGCAACAGCGAAAGCCTCGCTCTGTTCTGTGTTTAAACTGTGACCCTCTTTCACTTGGTGAAAGCAGTGCCTCCGGCTGCTCCCAGAGCGGGCTGGGGGGATCAGCAGGAGGGGGACGTTTTTCCATCTCCTGTGTGCCAGGGGGTAGCACGGTTCACTTCCCCAGTGCGTGTCGGGAGTGGCGGGCGTTGGCAATTAAACACAGATCACCTTAGAGCCGGTGGTGGAAGTGTGGCAGCACCGGGAGCTGGAGGAAGCCTGGCTGGGCGCGGTACCGGCACCGCGCGGGTCTCGAACCCGCGGCCCCGGCCGGCCCCGCCCCGCGCACGTGGCCTGGGGTCCTCGGCGCGGGCTGGCCGCGGCGGAGCCGGGCGCGGCGGCGGCGGTGACATTGAGCGCGCAGCCATGGCCAAGGCGGCGCAGGGGCTGGTGCAGCGGCTGGTGCAGCGCGGGCCCGAGCTGTTCGGCGGTGAGGGAGGGCCGGGCAGCGCTGGGAACGGGCTGGGCTGAGGGCAGGGCAGCGACGGCGGGCCGGGGCCGCGCAGGGGCTGGTGCAGCGCGGGCCCGAGCTGTTCGGCGGTGAGGGAGGCGCTGGGCAGCGCTGGGAACGGGCTGGGCTCAGGGCAGGGCACAGGAGGGGATGGGGAGCAGGGCTCCGGGCAGTGCCCTGGGCCCGGGCAGGCCCGGCGGGCTCCCGCCGCTGGGCAAGCACCGGGCAAACACCGTCCGCTCCGGTCCCCTCCGCAGCCGCCGTGACCTACTCGAAGCCGCGCCTGGCCACCTTCTGGTACTACGCCAAGGTGGAGCTGGCCCCGCCGAGCCCCGCCGAGATTCCGCGGGCCATCGACAGCATGAAGGGCCTGGTCAGGGCGTTCCAGAGCGGCCGCCTGGCGCAGCTCACCGTCAAGGTACCGGCGGGGCGGGACGCGACAGCACCGGGGACCGCTCCAGCGAGCTTCCCGGCCACCAGCAATGCTCTGCTCCTGCCTCGGGAAGTGTGGGAGATGTTCTCGTGGAATTCAGGGGCCCAGACTTTAAAGTGTTTCGTTTTATTGGCTTTGCTTTAATTCTTCCCTGCCTGGGCCAGGCTGTGATTGTTCCCCTCTGCTCCCAGGGAAGGGAGAATCCATAGGTGGCTGAATGAGCCCAGCCTTCTGGATCAGCTGTGTCATCCGCTGGCCTTGAAATTAGTGTATTTCCCATGTGTGGGCTAAAAAATTATCCTTAAAAGACCTGCAAAAAGCCACAATCAACAGCTGACAGTGTACTTAATGTTGTAGAACGTTTCTGTGATGGGACACGTTGAGGGGTAGCCAAACACAGCAAACACCCTGCTCTTTTTCTGGGTTTTTCTGGAGGGCATGGATGTGGGAGTGAGGGAGGAGCTGTTGCGGGAGTGTGGGATCTAACCAATGGCTTTTTCCTTTCAGGACGCGCTGAGGAATGGCCTGGTGGCCACGGAGGTGTTGATGTGGTTTTACATTGGGGAGATCATCGGCAAGGGCGGCCTCATTGGGTACAACGTGTGAACACTCACCTCAGCAGTGCCACGGTGCTGGGTCTGTAATGGGGTCTGCAACAATAAAACTAGGAGTCTATATCGAGCTGTTGTCATCCTTATCTGGTACTCTGACAGGTGCCAGCCTGTCCTGGCAGCAATGCTGGCAGGGATGGCTCCTCAAGAGGGGTCTAAGATCCAGGCCCAAGGGTGCCAGAGCTGCTTTAGTGACATCACTTTTGGTCACCAGAGCTGTGTTTGCTCTGGGACACTCACTGTGTCCTGATGGTGACCCCAGGGGAGGTCTGAGAGCCCCAAAATCAAACAGACTGCAAAGGGGAAACATTCCATTTGTTCCTGAATGCAGTTCCCATCAGCTAGTGGGACCCAAAAGCAAATTCCAGTACTTTTTACACTATCAAAAGCAATTTCCATGGTTTATTGCATAGGGAACATGGCTCTTTTGGTTTGGTGTGTATCTGGTGCAGTGGAAGCCTGTGTAAGCAGAGCTTTGCTGCATGTGTTACCTCAGCTCCCACCGGCCAAAGGTTGAGCTGTCTAGGGTTCTACCACCTTGCTCAGTGTCAGCCAGCTCTTGCAGGATTTTGTACAAAACCTGGTGAGTGCCCTGTGCTCTGACAAGTTCAGAAAATAATTTGTCGGAGTTCTCTGAAGATAGCAGCCTGTTTTTACTGTCTTACAAGATGGTTTTAGTCAGTATTGCTCCATGTTGATACTGTTGTGGTCCCGCTGCTCCTTTGCTCCTCTGGGTGTTGTGCTGTGCACGCCAGTGACCCTCCAGGCTCCAGCCCTCAGTGACCCCGATGTTCCTGGGGTGACTGTGCCAGTAGCATGTCACTTGCTCTCCCTGCAGCAGAACTGACCTTCTCAGCAGGTCATCCCTCCAGGAGGCCTGGTGTGCTTTGACAGAGAGTGCAGGTGAGCTCACACACTCCAGGGGTGGTCAGCAGTAGGTTGTTCGTGGTATGGATGGGAACCTTTTCTTCTTTCTTGTTAAAAAGAAGGCTTCCTGTCCCAGCAGCTCTGGCTCACAGCTGGTCACAAGTCGCTTCCATGCCACAGATGGGAAAACTGAGGCTCAGTGAGCTCCCTGGCTTCTGTGGGGGAGTCTGCAAGAGGAACAGTGACTGGACCTGTGCTTCCAGCCCCCTGCCCAGCCTGTGTTCCGTGCTTGCTTCTCCCACCGGCCTGGCCAGGACACCGTGCCTGCCTCGCACAGCCCTCCTGGTGCTGCGGAGAGTTTTGTGACTGCTCAACCCCAGCAAACCTGACCACGGCTGCAGCCAAATGGTCTGGCTGAGCAGGGGTGAATGATGGCTCCCAAAACTGCCCCTCCCCACAAGCTTTTTGCTCCTGCCATCACAAACCCTTCACCCAGCAAGGGGAAGGGGCCAGGCCCTGTTGTGAGATTCTGCAGGATATATTCCTCAAGGAGAGGGAGATCACATATGGGATGTAATGGGTGAGCTTGACTGGAAGGAGGATTCTGAACGTAAGAGAACCTCACTGAGAGCAAGGCTGCCTGATTTGGCTCCGGGACCTGCCTCTCCTCTCTGACTTGTTCTTGTCTGTGCGTGCCCCTCTCAAAGCAGGTTCTAGAGGGCATTCAGGGGGCTGCAGCTCACACTAGCACTGGCCTGGCAAAAGCTTCAGTGGGTGGATGGGATTAAGCTTCACTAGTAAAGCATGGGAGAGCTCAATAATGCTCCTGTTCCTAGAGAGGGAGAAACCATCTAATTTTAGTTCTCCTCCCGGGAAATCCTTGGGAGATGTCCCCCCAGCCCCGCTCCCACAGCAGAGCCCCCGGCAGAAGCAGCGTCTGTGACCCAAAAGGGCTCCAGCAGCTTTTTGGTCCTCTCCAACACCAGAACAGCGTCTGCCTGCCCCACCAGCCCCCTGCCCTGCCCTCAGCTGATGAACTTCGGAAGAAAATGGCTATTTCACGTCCCCAGGCGAAGGGATTTACATCCTATCCGTGTGCAGTGTGTTCTCACAGAGTACGGTGGGCACTTGTTGGATGTTAACCCTGCTCTCGCCGCGCCGAGCACGACGGGGTTGCCAGCCCGGTGGTGTCGCCGCCGCCTCCCTCCCGGCGGCGGCACCGGCAGGGCGCGGGGCCGCAGGCAGGGCACGGCCCGGGCCGGAGGCGTAGGGCGAAGCCGCGGGTGCTCGGTACCGCAGCTCGGGCCGCGGTCCCCCCGCGGGGACCGGCTCGTCCCGGGCCGAGCAGCGCAGAGTCTCGGGGGGAACGCGGGCTCCGCCGTGCCGGGCCCGGGGCCGCGCCCCGCGCCCCGCATACGGCCCGGCGCTATGCAGGGGTCGGCAGCACCGCCTATGCCGTATGCGCGGTCCGGGGCGCGGGGCTCCCGCTCCCTCTCGGCATCGCCGTCGGGGTTATGAGGGTTGCTTGCGGCCCGCTTATACGTCAGGCAGGTTCCGGGGCTAAATCGCGAGGAGCCCTGCACCTGTACAACAATGCGAGTTATGAGGGGCCGCGGCGACGCGATGCTGCACTATCCAGGACGGGGGACTGCACTGGGGCTTGGGCCCGGGGTCCTGCATATCACCCAGCGTTATGCCGGGCTGGCACTGATCGAGCGTGGTTTATTCATGTGGCGGGGCGGCGGGATGGCGGAGCCCCACAACCTGCATGGCAGCCGTTGTTATGCAGCGCCTCCACGGGCCGGCGAAGCGCTATGCAGGGCGCGGGGTGCGGCCCGGCCCCGCTCTCTGGCTCGTCGCCTCTCAGTAAAGATGGCGCACAGCGGTCGGTGGCGCTTCCCCGCCCGGCCCGGCAGCGGCGGCTGGGGCCGCCGGGGCCCGGGGGGGTCCCGCCTACGGGTGCCGGCCGTGCATAGCCTGCGGCCCGCCGAACCTGCGGCGGCGCCGGCGACGGCGGGCGAGGGCGAGCGCGGCGGCCCGTGCTCCAGCGGGGCGGCGGGAAGCGGCGGAGGCGGGGCAGCGCCGGGCCCCGGCGGCCCCGCGGCCGCGGCCGGTCCCGGCTTCGACGCGGCGCTCCAGGTCTCGGCCACCATCGGCATCAACCTGCGGCGGTTCCGCGCGGCCTGCGGCACCGAGGCGGGCAGCGGAGAGGTGAGAGGGGCGGCGGGGCGGGGGCGGGGGGGCGCGGCGGGCGGGCGGGTCCCGAGCGCAGCATCCCCGCGCCCCGGCGGCGGCGGCCCGAGCACAGCCGGGCGCACCCAGCCGGCCCCGGCCGCACAGCCCGCCCGCCGCCGGACACACCTCCCGCGCCCGCGCCCCGCACAAAGGGCGCGCCCGCCGGGGGGGCCGGGGGGGGCGGCGGGACCCGGTGGGCGCGACTCGGAGCCGGTCCCCGGTGCCGGGCCCTCCCCGCGCACGCGACTTGCCGCCGGTGCGTTCTCCTTGCCGCCGCCTCCATTATCCGTCTCCCGCCGCTCCCGCGCCCGCGGCGGGGCGGGATGCGGTGCGCACGCCCCGCCGCCGGCAGCGAGGTAGGATGGACGGGGCCGGCACCTCCCGGTGCGCCCCGGTGCCGAGGATGCTCGGCGGGGTGATGCGTCCTTCCCCGGGCGCGGGGGCTCGAGGGGGCCGGGCTGCCGGCCCCTCCTGCGGGCCCGGCGGTGGGTGTCGCGCACCGGCCCTCCCCCTTCTCCTCCTCCTCCTCTTCCTCCCTTTCGCCGCTGTGGATGCCCCAGGCGGAGCTTGGGGCGGCGGGCCCGATGCGAGAGGCCGTTTGCCGGTACTAAGAGCGCTGGCTCTCCTTTTTTTCTTTTTTTTTTTTTTTTTTAAATTTTTTTGAGTTGCTCTTCTCCCTCCCTTCAGTTTTTTTTTTAAGCCTTTCTAAGGCAGCCGGAGTGGGAGTGCGACAACAACCCACCTATTGACAGAGCAGGGAGGACATGATGGGGGTGTGTTACTACGAGCTGCAGCGTTCCTTTCCCCCAGTTGTTTTGCATCGCTCCTTAGCGGCATCCTTGCGCCGGCAAGAGAATTCCCTGAGTCTTTTGTACCAGAAGGGCTTTATTATCGATTTTTGAACGGCCAGCTCTGTCTCCTCTTCTCCAAGCAGGTTGTCAGCTGTAGGGTAGGTGAATGTATCTTTGTATTTTGTCTGTATAAAGACCAGTTGGTTTCCTTTCCCATCACTGGCCGTACCAGAGTTCATTAAAACACACATGAAAATACAGTTTTCTTGTGTCTTTCTGGTTTTGGCATTTTCTGTTGGGCGCCATAAAGTGGAGCTCTTTGCTCATGGCTGAGCTGAAGGAGTTCCTTGCCTGTAGAGTGGCTGCAGGAACTGGGTTGTGTTTGCAGGAACAGAGCTGAACGTGGGGACACTCCTACCCTCACCTGTGCAGACTCTGGGGTGTGAGTCGCACTGCTCTCAGTAACACCATCATCTCAGGGGATGTACTTTGGGGTAGTTCTCTTTTTTGTTGTTTGCAGTAGACATGGCTTGATGGAATTCATGGAGTCCTCTGGGAAGCAGTTCTAGTTCAGGGAAAGAAATGACTTGAGATCTGGCTAACCAAGCTGACCACAAAGTTAATAACCCAGGAGGTTTTTCATATTGGGGGAGGCAAGTTGCTTTGTTTCTTTTCCTTTTCCTTATTTTTTTTTTTCTAAGATGATATTGGGTTGTGGTTTATTTAATTCCAGTTGTCTTCAAGTATATTTTTGCATCTCAAAAAAGCCCTAAAACATCTTTGTGATATTTTTTTGAGTTTAGCCTTAAGGGTATTTTTGCTTTAAAGTAAAATAGCTTGAATGCATTGTAGGTGTGGCAGCTGATTAACACAGGGTCTCCTGGATTTTAAGAATTTTACTTATTACATCACTTTTCCACTTAGCTGCTAATAGCTTTTCTCTAATAACATTGTATATAGTAGAAAGTAGTGATAAACACTGATATGTGGCTTGGTGTTTGTCGGTTCAGTTTTGCCTGACCCCCCATGAGCCAGGCAGGGGCAGACCCCAGGTGTTTCCCCTCACTCTGGATTTGCAGCATGCTGGTAGTCTTGGGCATACTCGGAGAGATCCTCACAAACATTCAGATTGAGTTAACTAACCCAGCTGGCTCCTCTCCTTTGGTGATGCTCAAGAAACAAAACATTTTTGCATCAAAGGACAGTTCTCCTGGCTGGTGACTTGTGCACTCATCATAGTGCTAGTGAAGATTAGAGTCACCAGAGGCTGCTTTTTTCTGTCTTGCAGTACAAGTTCTCTGTGAGGTGGGGTGAGGGTGTGAAAAGAGCTCTGGCACATGTAGGAAGCCAGCACATGGGTGCTGCCTGTGGTCTCTCCAGAGGAGAGGGCAGCTGTATGCAGTGCAAGAACGGTGCAGTTTCTGGTACCCATGTGGTAGCTGCCACCTCTGGAGGAGGTGTTCTTCTTAGAAGGGGGCTTCCAGAAGACCCCTTCACATTGGGGCTCCCCATCTCCTCTGGGTAACTGCCTGGTCCTCATGCTGTCCATTTCCACAATGTTGAGGGTCCTTCCTGAGCCAAGCCAGTTACAGTATTCAACCAAGTTGCCATTATTCCTCATCAGGAATAAACTCTGAGCAGTTGTTTGGAGGTCAGGAGCCAGTGGCAATCAGAGGAAGAAGCTGTGTTACCTTTTTATTTACAGCTTCTGCTCTGTATGCTTACTTTTTTTTACTTCATTCTTGTCTGCACTTGTGTAGGTACCTGTTGAAATTGGGTATTACCGCCAAGTTAGATGCAGGAGTAATGTCGTCCAGAACAAGTATTAGACGCAGTCTTTCCCTTGTCTCCTTGACAGTTTCATAGTACATAGCAAACTGCACTTCTCATTTAAAAGATACCTGAATTCTGGGGTGTCAGGGCATTCTCCTCATACTCGGGTCATTTTGTACAAAACCTTGTCTTCTGCTGCAGCTCAGTGTTGCACTGAGTTATCTCGAAACCAGCTCACATTAAAGGAGCCACATTCTGATTCTCAATTTTAACACAAGAATTGCTGGGGGACTTTTTGCACAGTGAAGCTGTTTACTACCACAAAAGATTTTTTTTTGCATCCATATAGCAACTGTGGGGCTTTTCTCTCATCATCTGCAAGCTTCATCTTTCTAGGCAGTGGCTTGACTGACCCTCTTCCTTGGAAGTGGTATTATTGAAAGCTTGTTCTGACCAGAATGAGAGTGTTTCAGGTGTTCTAATAAGCATTTCTCTGTATTCAGATTGGAAAGCATAAATGAGAATTTCTCATCCAGGTTGGAACAAGACTCTGGCAAAACAGTTCTGTATTCTCAGTAACACCCTTGTGATAGACCCACCCTGAGCCTCAGCCCCATAAAGAGAAATATATTCTTTCTAATTCTAAAATAAAGTGGACTCTGGAAGCTGCAGCCCTAAGCACCATTGTATTGCCATGGGTGATGCCTGAGGGTACCGCTGCAGAGGTTCTCATGTGGAGGTGACCAGGCCAAGAGCTGTTCTGTGCTATCAAGACGTTCTCTGTAGGTCGATGCTGCTCTGAGGTGAAGCCCCAGCAAAGTCTGTGCATCACTCCTGGTCAAAGCTTTAGTTGAATCAAACAGTGGAAGCATGAATGTCCCCTCCTCTGAGTTGGTGCCTAAGATCACCCCAAGTGCTCAGCTGTTTATTGTTGAAGTTGCATCTCAAGTAATGGCTTGGGAAGCATCTTCCTGAGCTCCCAGTGGAATCTGCTCTGCTCCCAACACCCGGTGTTTGTCTCAAGGTTGCTACCTGCCAGCCTCCAAGGGTGTTTACTCTGCTGAAAGCAGAAGAGTCTGGTAGATGTTGTGCTGCAGTCACTAAGCAGGCATCTGAATGAGCTTCTAAAAATAGCTTATCCCTTTCCAAGAAAGTGAGGTGCTGTCTAACTTGGGCCAAACCCAGGATGGGGAATGGGAAGGAGAGCATTGGTCAGGTGACTCTATTGTAAAAGAAACTTTTTCAGGTGATGATTGGAGTGGCTGAATTGCTGGTTTAGAGGCCCATGCAGCTTCACAGATCCACAGTGGTGTGGTTTGTACTGTTATTCCTCAGACAGAGATCAGAACATCAGTTAGTGCCTGCAGGATAGTTTCTCCCTTGCAGGTGGATTTTCCTGTGAGATCTTTAACTGGAAATTATTTGAAAAGTAATATCGTTCAAGAGTGTTGTGATAAGCATTTGCTTGCAACATCTCTGTTCTTTAGTAGCTGGGTTACTTAGAAAAGCCCTTCTTTAGCTACACACAACTCTGAAGTTGAACCCAGTTGGGGTACTGTAATGTTTGAATGGGAAATGTATGTGCTGCCCACACAGAGATCTTCCCATGCCTGCTTGGTTAGTCTTCATGTCTGACACAAGGCAAGCCTTCCCTCATCCTTTAATTTATAATCCTGAGTGGCCTTTTTTGCATTGCAGTATTCTTTTTCAGGTAAATGAGGGCATGTTCAAAATCTTCATGGTTTTTAATCACTCTCCATCTGTCATGACATTTCTGGAAAACTGGAGGGAGGCTGTTCCTGCCTATTTTGCCTCAAAGCTACATTTTGGCATGTGATGGCCAACTGAATGGTTTAGCCTGGCAAATGCTGAGTGATACTTAGTGGCTTTCTTCATCTTCTCTGACAGGTCATAGGGTTGCCTTCTCATGATAGAGACCATTCTGAGGTCACCAATACATTCAGGAATGTCACCAAACACACAAGCACAAGTAGCATATTGGTCAAACTACTTGTGGTTGTAAATGAAGCAAAAGTGATTGTTTTGTGGAAGGAGCCTTTTTGCTGTAGATGCTTCTGGTGACTGGTTGGTAAGAAATGGAAAAAATGATCATTCCCAGGC